ACAGAGAACAGATTGGTGGTTGCCAGAGGTGGGTATGGTGGGGAGGGAATGTTTTCTTTTTCTGTTTAAATAAATTGGATTTAAAACAATCTAATTTTCATTTTGGAATTCTGAAATAAAAAGAAATTGGATTTCTTGGTATTTGCTGTTCTATTGTCCTTGCACTTCTTAACTAAAAGAAAATCTTGATATAATATAGTTCTCCACAATGAAATAGAATTATCTTTGCCTTCTGTTGCAGTGGGCTTTTTTCTTGGCTTTATACCTGAAGTCCAAACAGACTTTTGGGCTCTAATGACCCTTGTTGGAGTAATTGCTGAATCATTACTTTATGGAATAGTTTTTAGTTCTCTTTTCCTTGCTCCAGGACTTTAAAAAATTTATACTTTTTTTTAAACAGCTTTATATTTACAGAAAATTGAAATAGTAAAGAGAATTCCCACATAATTAATGAATCAGTATTAATACATTATTATTTATTATTAGTTGCATCATTTATTCAAATTTCCTTAGTTTTTACCTAATGTTAATTTTCCTTTCCTGGGTCCCTTTCATGTACCGTGCTGTATTTAATTATCCTATCTTCTTAGGATCCTGTTTGTATCAATTTCTCTTTGTACTTCAGGATTTCCAGGTACCTTTGGAGCACTTGGGTTTGATATATCCAGGATCAGGTATCTTCCATCTTCTGCCATAATTGAAACCCTTTTGAAAAAGCAATTCTAAGTCTTAGGAAATAATGCTTGTAATAAACTTAACTATGTTACATATCAACAGGGAAAATATAGAATGTTACATAAGTGTAATATGATATGATGTGATTAAATTATAGTTCCTGCTGTTAAAAACAAACCTAGTACTAGTGATTTAACGTTTGAAGAGTTGACACCAGTCTACGTTGTTCTCCGTTCTTTAAAATGGAAGGTATTACATATTTTTGTAAAGAAAAAGTTCTCTTGCATTTGAAATCATGTTCCCTATTCTTACATTTCTCTTTGAGATTGTCTTAGGATACTTGATTTAAAAATTTGTTGTCTTTATAGTATAACGAGGAAGTTCTTCACAGCCTTTTCTTAAATCTGTCTGTGTATCCCAGAACTACATCATTGTCATAGCTTGAGAAATACTTGAGGTAATACTATTCATTTCCTTATTTCCACGTTCCTGACTTTCTCTCTTTATATAAATTTCTGTAAATTTAGAGCCAAAGGCAGTGTCCCATGATTTAGTACCCCATAGTGTTGTGGAGTTCCAGTAACTAAACTGTTTAGTTACAATAGGTAGTTTGGATGCTCCTTTTTCTGCAACCTATGGATTAGTAATCATGAGGGCTTTGAGTTGAATATCAAACTGACTTCATCGAGTTAAAATGCCATAGGAGAGTGGATGAGAAAAGGAAAGAGTATCAGTTCCTAGTACCTAAGTATTTGTAGATAGAATGATATATATGTTAAAGATAGAAATTGCTGAAGTAGTTAATTTTTGATTATTAATAACTTAATTGTACCATACGTTTTCATTCTGCATCATTCTTTTCAAAAATGCCTTCACAGATACTACCTTAGTGAAAGTATTGGTTTAGAGGAGCAGTAATGTGGATAATAAAGCCTTTCCCCCTCATCACACTGCTCTTTGAGCCACAGAAATGCTGAGTTTACATATCAAAGAATCTGTGCTGGAAAGTGGTTTCATTCATTCATTTAAATATACATATCATATTGTTGAATACCTTTTTTAGCAAATGTTAAAGGACCATTGGTTTATCCAAATTACTATTGCCCTTAACATCATATTGAGCCCTTACCATGTGTCAGGCTGTGAATTTTTTAAAGAAAAGATTTATTTGAGAGAAAGAGAGGCAAGTGGGAGGGGAGGGGGAGAGGGACAGAATCTCAAGCAGACATCCTCCCACCCCCCAGTGAGGAGTCCCATGGGGGGAGGCGGGGAAAGGGGGGTTGGATGTCACCACCCTGAGATCATGACCTGAGCCAAAATCAAGAGTGGGATGCTTAACGTACTGAGCTACCCAAGCGCCCCCCAGGCTATGAATTTTTCATATTGATGTTCCATCCGTGTTGAATGAATGAATGAATGGGCAAAAGTTTTCCTTCCTGCATTTTGATGCATGCCTGTTCCTCTTTAAAATCCTCTTCTAATTCCTATCTAGATTGTCTCAGCCCAGCCTGATCATTAATTAAAATTTAGTTTCTCTCTATAGGATAGGGAAACCCCAAATAATAGTGATGTAAAATTAGTTTTCTTCACATAAAAGAAGTCTGTAAGCAGGCAATGAAGTGGTAGAATGGGAGGCTTGCTTCGTGGAGTCATGGGGGACCCAGGCTTCTTCAGGCTGTTGCTCTTGTTTTGGTGATCCTAGGTGATCCTGCTAAAATTTTATTCAGCCGTTCTTCAGTCCTTGATCCAGATGGCAGGATGGAAAAAGACAAGAAGCAGAGGATCGAGCCCCTTCTGTTTTAAGGAGACTCCCCACAAGTAACTTATAAAGGTCTAATACAAGTCTCCTTGGCCAGACTTAATCTTACAACCACATTTTGCTGCAAAGGAGTCTGGGATATATAGTTTTTCACCTGGACAGTAATGGGCCCAGTAAAACAAAAAACAGAAAGCAAAATGAAGTAAAAACCAAAAATGAAACAAAATGAACCCCCCGCCCCCCTCAGGATTCTGTTGTTAAGAAGAGAAAGAATATTCTGAGGCTGTTGTGATCTCTGCTACAATCATTCACAGTAATGCTGCCCAAAGGAGCATCCTGGATTCCCTTTACCTCTTGACAAGTGGTTTTGCCAATTCTCAAACCTCCTGTCATCACCATCTTAACTTGTTTATGCCTACTCCTGCTTCCCCTCTCCAGAATTAGTGGGAAAAGTCCTGAAATTAGAGATGGACCTGATGATGTCCTCTAATTGCTAGTGAACTCCAAATGAATTTGTAGTTTTAAAATTGTGGACTGTCACCTTCCGTAATCCACTTCTTAGAGTGGTTGTTTTGAAATGGTTCACATTGTACTCTTAATTCCATGTTCTCACTTTGGTTTTGTTTACTTACAAATAAATCAACCGTACTTCATCTCTGCCTCGGTGCTGTGTGTCTCTATGTGTCTTCATGTACCTCCATCTCAATAGGTATTGATTTTCATCCATAGGATTTAAGTCTGAGGAGGGCCGCAAGCTCAACGGTGGCTGAACAGAGTATTTTGTGCTCTATAAATGCCTGCTAAATGAATGAGTGAATCCCAGCCTTTCTTCCTCTTCTCTTCAGAATATAAGATTGTTTCTATATTTAAAGAATCTTCTCTTGACTTTGCTGCCATTTTCCCTTCATTTCTCACAGTTCACTTTTTATTTTTTAACAAGCGGCATTCTCCTGGTTTACTAACTCCTTGTTCTCTTCCCTGTCTTGAGGCTCCCTCTGTGATTTCTCAGATTTTGCTTTGAGATTTCCCCTTCTCAAGGGCCTTTTCTGGTTGTTTAGTCTCTGTGACATCTCCAGAGCACGCTGTGTTATTGACAGAGCATTCGGGGACATACCCTCTCCCTTCTTGTACCTTTCTTGTTTTTACTTCTGCATTTCCTTTGTTGATGTCCTTCAGCTCAGTGGTGAGCCAAACGGTATGATGTCCTTGTCTCCTTTGTTCTTTAGTGTCTGCCCCTTCTTTGCAGTATCTTAGCAGCTAGGCTGCTCTTGGACCTTGGCTGCTATTTCTTATGCACTATTACCAAATAGACACAAATTGCTTTTAGTACTCATTTCTGCATCCCTTTTAAATACTTCCTGGGTGCCTCAACTTAAACTCCTCTGTCTATTTAAACAGTACGTCTGAAATCTGGGATGCTGGTCCCTGTCTTGGTTTCCTGTCATTAGGGCATTGCTTCTGAAACTGCATGCTGGTAACCCTAATGGCGAAGGATAGCAATTTCCTGTGTGGTGTTTTCCTTGTCTGGACTGCCCCTTCCTTTATTCTTTCCACCTTCTTTTTTTTTTTTTCCTTTTAAGATCAAGTTCAGAAATCTGCATTTCACAAAGATTTCTAGGGTGACATCAGAACTTATGACTCTCTGGGCTTTGAACTCCTGCCACACTCATCTGTTTATTACCTGGTCCTCTTCATATACTTGTGTGGTATTGTATTGTAGAATAAATCCTCTTTATTATAAATGTTTTATCTCATAGATACTCTGTAATCTTATTCCTCTTTGTACTCTCAGTGCCTGCTATGTAATCAGCACTTAAGAATGTGTGCTATGGATGATGGCATCCCCTTTTCATTTCCTTATCTTGTTCCATTTCTAACACTGAGATTGCTTTAAAAATTAATTTTTCTTATCACCAAACAAACATTTCTCTTCCATAAATGAAATGGAGTGCTTGGACTGAGCTGAATGACAGGTTTTCAACAGCTTGACTGCATTTTACTTTGCACTATTTTTAGTACATTATAAAGGGCCTAGAATGACTGTTGGAGAAGTAACTTTTCTCTGTCTTTTGAGTGTCTTCATCTTTTGAGTGCCATCTAAAAACTTGGAGTAAAAGATTCATGAAAAGAGCTAGTGGGATTCTGTGCATACCAAAGTTTTGTATGGGGAGGAAAGAGAGACGGGGTAGGAGAGAGAAAATAAATAAATGAGAATGAGTGTGAAAACACGTGCCCTCCAGGCCCCACTACTTGGTAAATAATGTCAGGATGTCGTTGGACCAGCCAGATAGAAGACTAGTTGTGTCAAAGGGGTGGATATCTCATAAGGATGAGAATTCATTTTAAGACCATTTTTGCTACTCATCCCCTACAAAAAGAAGCTTACCCAGTTGTTTTTATAATCAATTCCTCAGCAATACAGTAATGTTGGACAGACATATTGGATAAAGTAGATCAGTTAAACTATGTTGTCTTTTAAAATTAAAGTATAAGAAATTAGTTGTAGTTGAAATTAGCTCTGCGGAGATTGAAAATCTGGACTAGTGGAGTGTGATTCTAGACTCAAATGAGGGGAACAGAGGACTCTGTTCACCTACTTAATTTACTTCTTATTTCCATAGGGAAGTTGAAATACTGCCTTGTGGTTCTGAATCAGCCTCTGGACAAATATGTTCGTCATCTTTGGAGCAAAGGTAATCTTAATTAGCATTTATAATTCTTTACTTTCTTAATCTATTTAGGACTAATATGACTATTATATATTCCAGAATATAACTACAGTACCAAAAAGTGGAACTTATAATGAAGTGATATAATTATTGAATTATCAGAAGAATGGATCTGCTCTGTTAAGTAGTTTCTATGGGTGGTTTCCACAGGATGGAATTCTGTCCCCAAGGACAGAATTACAATGTAGCATCACTATGCGTATTTCATATATCAGCTATGTGGATGTTATCCTGAGTACTCACTGTTTGTTGAAGTGTAAATAGTTTTGACACCAGCAACAATAAAAAGCATCCTTAAGCCTCACTCATCCTAGTATCCAGCAATAAGACATCTGCAGGGTGACCAGATCCGCAAAAAAAAAACCAAAAAAAACAAAAAACAGTATATTAGAATCTCAAGGGATGCTGGAAAATATAAATATGCAGTAGTTTTGCAGAATTAATACTTTGAGTTTTCCTGTAAGAAACAGACTTTATTAACTTTTTTACATTATTCTTTGATTTTTATACCATTAGCTCTAGGCAAGAAAATAGTATTAAATATCATTTACTGTTTTGAACCTCTGCTCTTCCATGAAATCTTGAGCTTTTTTCAAAGGGATACTTCTTTTCAGGTTAGCAATATAAATTTTAAGCCAAATTAGATAGGCAGAAGAACGTGATTCTTGATATATTGTTGCATATTCCAGATGATTCTCTCTTATTGCAGAATTCTTTTGTATCCTCAACATCAAGGCTATGTGTCTTAGAATGCAAATCTGTTACGTCAATAAGCTCACATCTGTGGACAGAGGTAGTTGTGATACTAGAGGGAATAGATCATTATGGATGATTTTGTATAATGAATTTTTCTTGTCCTATGGGTGATTACCATGAAAACACTTTATTCTAAATTTAGCTCTCTTTATATTAGCCAACTGAAAATGTCACATTATTATTGCACTGAAAGTTGGAAAGCTATTTAGCCAGTAACTTCACTTTTCTAGCACTTCTCACTTGCTTGTAATTAGGTGGTTATTCAGGTGCCATCAGAAAGGTCTTTTTGTTGTCACGTCAGTGCCTAGTGCTGTGTCTGGCACATAATTGCTTAGTAATTATAACCAGTGAAAGTGAATTTAATATGATTCATATTCCTAATAAATACCAAAGTAAACTGATTAGGCACATCCTTTTTATCTGAACTTATTACCAGGTCTTATTATATTTTTAGGAGAGTGTGTGAACAGCTGTGTTTTACTGCACATCTTAAAAATAGACAAAATAATCATTGATGGGAATGACTGGAAACCTTGGGTAGGGAAAACTACATCTAGGATGTCTCATTTTGGAGGGTGAAGGATCCTATTTTGTCCATACTGTGAAACAATGTAGATTTTTGAGCTGACTGAAGTTTCTGATTGCATTGGTTTCCTGCAGTGAATTGAATTTGAAAAAGTTTCATGCTGGACATACACCAACTATTTATTTGATTTGCATAAAAAAATGAGCAGTAGGCCAGTCTGTATACATGGAGAGAACTAAAAATATTTAAATGTGACATGGACTGCAATGGTTAGATAAATCTCATTTCCAAAATAACTTTTCTTTAGGTTATTGAAATGTACTTTCATATATACGTCCAGGATAATTTTTGGCTCTCTGGAGCCATTAACCATTATAAAAAGTGGATCTGTTCCTAAGTACTGAGAAAAGGTAGAATAGGAGTTTTGCGGTTCTCACAACAGAAGCTGTGATTTTTTTTTTGTTTGTACTGTCCTGTTTTGTGTTGTTCTTCCAAATAAAACTTAAAAAAAAAAAAAGGTATTGGGCGACTGAGTGGCTCAGTCTGTTGAGTGTCCAACTTTTGATTTTGGCTCAGGTCATGATCTCAGGGTTGTGAGATTGAGCCCTGGGAGGGCTCCACACTCCTCGGGAAGTCGGCTTGAGATGCTCTCAGATCCATCTCCCTCTGCCTCTCCTCTCACGTGTATGCGTGCACACTGTCTCTCTAAAATAAACCTTTAAAAAAAAAAAAACTGGGTATTAAGGAGGGCACTTGTTATGATGAGCACTGGGTGTTGTATGAATCACAGAATTCTACTCCTGAAACCGATATTGCACCATATATTAACTAACTAGGAGTGATCCTGAAGTGTAGTTAAAGAGAGGAATAAGAGCACCCTATTGATAGTTATCCTTCTCAGGAGCCTGAGCGGCAGGCAGCCTTTGTGCTGTGGTATCCTTAGTGAAACAAAGTCACAGGGAAAAAAAAGTCCCAACAGATTCTAGTTCTACACTAACTAGATGGTGGACTCCCACCTAAAACCTAGAAAACATCAGTAGAACATCCTCTCTACATAACTCTTCAGGGGCAAGTGCGACATGTTGCATTTCTTTTTTTTTCAGTTCTTTAGATCAATGTACTCAGGAGTTAGATGGCCTTCCCTGAAATGCAGACATTGTCCTGTTCAGCAGCTCTTCCTAGCAATTTGTAATGAGAAATGAAGGTTTCTCTATGGTGGTTTTTCCTCTATTTCAGTTCAGTTTACAGCTAATCCATTTAGGGTGAAAGACTTCTGAAAGAACAGGCTGGGGAAGCAACCAGAGAAACATGGTGAAGTTCACATTTTCTCCCACATTGTATTGTGTTGTGCCCTTCAGAATTTAGAAGCATTTATTTTTACCTGGGTTCTATTTTAAACCCTGTATACTGTTATGTGTTAGATAAGTACTAGTGTTTCTGTGTGTATTAAATGTCCAACTTTGTTTAGTGGCTTCTCCCTTGTAATTGGGTGTTTCAAAGCCAGCTACATCTGGAGGTTTATTTAATCGACTGTAGATGAGTTGAACATTTCCACTGGTTAGTATTTGTGTACAATGGTAGATTAAAAAATATCTTGAACTTTTCTGTAGTATTAGTCTTTGGGGGAAGCTGAGGCTCTCTGAGCTTTTAGTTTTACAAGAGTATCTGCTTGGAGTCTTTGGAAAGAAGCTGCCACGGGGAGGCAGAAAAGATAGAGGGTGTAACCAATGGGTTCTTTACCTCACTAGGAGACAAATGTTTGAGAGAAAATCTGGTCCACATTCTTTGTATGTTTAGAGTTCACTTGTGATGTTTAGTCAACCTGAATGGTAACAGAGGAGAAAACCTTAGGGCAAAACACTTGTTTAAGCTACTAGAAGAGGAACAGTATTGGGAGGAAATACTCTATTTTTGAACATGTTTAGTGGAACTGAACAGTGTGAATTGTTTGATTCATCTAATGGCAGAATCTCGATGGAAATGAAACAGTGATACCTTCTAGTAAGGCTTCCTTGCGATCTAAATAGTTACCATGAATTTAGTTTTTAGGAATAAGCTGGTTAAGACTACCTGGATGGGTAGAATAGCATGTACATTTTTGTCATTTGAGTATATCGAGGCAAAGACCTAGCAGATATGTTATCTGGGAAAATGCTAGGCTTTAGGGTATTTGGATTTTAGTTAGGATGATCTGGGAGGCATCTGTTCTAGTAATGAGTAGCTTAAGTCATTAGACCTAAGAATCCTGTAATAGTTAAGCTTATCACAGTTTATTCAACTACCAAATTGACACCATTTGTGTCATTTTCTGTGCTTAGTGTTTTGCAGAACTTATGCTTTGAGCACATTTAAGTGAATATTGAGCCAAAGATCCGATGAGCAATTTGCATACTTCGTTCAGGTCCATTAAGTAAAACAGTTATGTACGAGCTGTGGTCCCTGTAAATAAGGCTGGCAGAAAAGATCTGTCCCAGTCATAAAGAGACATTTGGGAGACTACAAAAAGATTATTTAATATAGAAGACATTTCGGTATATTAGTGGCACAAAACAAAGTAAGTTTTGTTTGATACGAGACCAGAGACCTATTTTACCATTCCCATTCCCAAGATGATGGTCCATTTCTATTGAATGAGATCTTTTATCATTCTGTTTATTATAATATAAATATTATCAGATACTTAAGACTTCTGTGTTATTTTCATTCCCAGGATTCCCTCTTATGCCTTTGTGTTTTTATAACCGTAATATCGCAGAGAGTGTAGGGAATTTGTACCACAATTTCAGTACTTAATATTTGAAATACATTTGGAGCGCTCTGGGTGGCTCAGTCGGTTAAGTGTCTGACATGATTTCAGCTCAGGTCATGATCTCACAGGTTGTGAGATGGAGCCCCACGTTGGGCTCTACACTCAGCAGGGAGTCTGCTTGAGATTCTCTCGCTCTCTCCCTCCCAGCACTCGTGATCCCTCTCTCTCTCTAAAATAAACAAATCTTTAAGAAAATATCTGAAATACATTTATAAATCTTCTGCTATACTTCCTAATTCTGTGGTACTTTATATAAACTGCTGCACTTGATATTCTAAAGAAAGGGCATTTTTAAATATCAACTTTCACAGCATAGCATTTTCTAATATGTTTACTGAAAGGCAAAAAACCCCCTCCATTACTTTGTTTTTTAATGAGCATGGTATGTGTGTCAAGCAATATACAAGGACTGGGATACCAGTGAGAAAGACACAGGCCCTTTTCTTAAAGTGCTTACAATCTAGTGTCTGATGTACCCATTCCCAGTGTATATTCCAAATAGTCACTGTAAAGTATATTATTGTGAGGGACTGATTTGTTTTCCCCAAAATCATATGTTGAAGCCCCAGTGTGATATTTGGAGATAGTGCCTTTAAAGAGGTAATTAAGATTAAATGAGGTCTTAGGTGGGGTCCTAATGCAATAGGAGTGGTGTCCTTAGAAGAAGAAGAGACACCAGGGTTGGGGCTCTGAGAATAGGCCTTCATGAGGACACAGTGAGAAAAGGTGCCCGTCTGCAAGCCGTGGGGAGAGTCCTCAAGAGAAACCAGCTCTGCTCACCCCTTAACTTTAGACCTCTAGTCTCCAGAACTGTGAGAAAATAAATTTCTATTGTTTAAGTCATCCAGTCTATGGTATTTTGCTCTGGAAGCC